TGTATTCTGTGGTCAGATATTATTTACATACATGGTTGGTGCTTAAAGAAGAAAGATAGAGAAGTTTTGCACCAAGTATAATATATCTATTAGGAGTCTCGTTGATTGAGCATAGAATAGTTACAAAGGTACTTGAGCAAAATAGTAATGCAAATAGGAGCACTAAATATAACAAGACAGAGATCAAGAATGATAGAAGCAAAAAGAAATGTGTATTGCTTAGCATTAGTGGAGATTGGAAAATTAATGTGCTGAATCCAGATCATCTTTGAAAATGGACCTTATAAGTCGATCCAAATATTTGGGTTAAGGCTAAGTTGTTTTGTTATTATCTTTGCTATTATGACCTAAAATGAGGGTGTTCCGTTTCTTTATTGAGAAGGAAAACACTTACTTTCTTTTTATTTGTCAATGTGACTCAATAAGAAACCCTGAAACTTCCATATTTTAACTGGTCATCTCTGATTTAGAAAGAGTAAATATGCAACTTAGCCCTTGGAATTATTCCTCTCGTAGTTTAGTCACTAAATTAATTTCTGTACAAGTTAGTCCCTAAATTATTTATGTAAAAGTTAGTCCCTACATTTATACCATTCGTATCACACTAGCTGATTTGGTATCTCACTTTAATCCATGAGAAGGACTAACTTGATACAATTTTTGCAAATTTAAAGGTTAAATTGTACACATATATAAGTTTAGAGAAAATGCAAGTGAAGGATAATTGTAGAGACTGAGTTGTATATTTAATTGATTTAGGATACAATTGCTGGAGAAATCTGTTTTTGACCAACAAGTGGTTAGAGACGGTCATTTCTCATATAGATCTATCTGGTAGAATAGAGTTAACATATAATCAAGACTCAAATTGGTTTTGTGAAAGGGTGGGAACCCAAAAGCTCAAACTGTTTGGTGAAGACTCAAGATTGGTTTTATATCTGTAAGTCTGTAACATGCTTCATCACGTAAGAGCCCTTTGCGCTTCACACATGGACAATACATAAGCTTACTCTTTCTTGTGCTAAAGTTCAACTTTTATTATAATAATGGCAGCAATGAGGATAAATCATGATCACTTAGTCAAGGAGGCTCTGATACAATTTTGAAGACCAATTATTTCATAAGCTTAAGCCGTTAAGTGGGATTGGTTTAGAATTTCTAACAGAAATCTGTAAGATAATTTAATGCATTTATCTAAGCCATCTTTTAACATGATAGACTGAGAAAAGTAAATTGGACTGCATATTGAGTGCCACAGAAGAATCGGGTGAAATCTGGACAAAAAGATGGGGCAGAACTGATTTCAAGCTAATAGTAATAAAGGGCAAAAAAGCTTCTAGATTTTGTGAGGGTAGGAGTGAGGTTCGAATATACTCAACCTTACCTTTATATTTTTGCAAATAGGTTATTTTCTATACTTGAACCTGTGACCTTTCGATCACAAAGGAGTAAAAACTGCTGTTCTAAGGCTCACCCTCCTTCAAGCTAATAGTAATGCTGGTGAATTTTTTGGTTTGATATTTAGTTCTTCTTGTGTGTGTGCAAATTGCAATAACATTGTAAACTGAGAGGTCAGAAGCAGAAGTTAATAGTGGCAGATTGCACTGCTACAGCCTCTGGCCACTACTGGTCTTTGGTGCAGTCTCCACTGAGTAATCCACTATACTGCTAGCTTTTTTTGGTGTCTGGAATTAAGTACTATGGTCAGGAGCAGTTTCTGATTACTTTTTGCTAGTTTCCCTGATCTCTTCTGCCTCCATCGTGATTCTAGAGATTTGAAACATGTCCTTAAACTCACTAATATATGGGTGCAACATTGTATTTTCATATAATTGGCTGGTTAAATACATTCAGAGAAAATTCTAGGGATGCTATATCTCCTTTTGGTCTCTTTACGGTGCTTAGCTAATCGTTACTTTAGAGGGGTTTTGATGGTGGACAATGGACATTTAAAGAGATTGCTTATTTTTGTGTGGATGTTTTTTGGCTAAGACTATTTGTTTTCTTTTCTAGAATATCGTGTTCTCAAATGTTATTACTTGTTTCTCCTATAATAATATTTCTTATTGCATCACAAAATGTTAAAAAAAAAAATTGTTCTATATGACATGTTTAATGGAGGCAGATTGTGATCTATATGTTGACATCATTTTTCTGCAGCCGAACAATGGGTGATGCCAGTTCTGCAGTAGCTTATTTTGAAGAAAGTGTTGAATTTCTGTCAAAGTTGCCAAAAGACGATTTGGAGGTTATTTCATTAGAACCTTGCTTTTTTGGACATTGGATACAAAAAATCATAAATCGAAAAATCATGCTTCTTTTGTTTATTGTCAATTTATTTCTCTTAAATTGTCCTACAGATTACACATACACTTTCTGTTTCACTTAATAAAATTGGAGATCTTAAATATTATGACGGAGACCTTCAAGCTGCAAGATCGTACTATTTTCAATCTTTGGATGTTCGCCGTGATGTTGCCGAGCACAGTCCAGATGTTCCATCCCAGGTTGGTTACTACTATCTACTTATATCTGAAATAAAGAATTGAGATATAGGATCACAGTTTTAAATTGATACTTATGATATAGAAATAGAATCACAAATAAAGAAATCTGCTTGTATCTTCAAGGTATCTTGTGATACTTAAACTACCCGGAGAAAATACTAGACTACATAGTGTATAATCTTTAAACTGTCAATCCAACTATATCAAATAACATTAGTTTAGAAACCTTAGCTTTGGACACCAAAATTAACAGAAATCATACTTTTTATTAAATCCTAAACAAATAAACATCCAATTGATATCTTTGTTATGCTATTATTCCATAAGGCCTAATAATAGTTTTGGGCTTTTTGATAAAGCATTGAATCAATTGGAGAGTTAATTTTCAAATTTCATTTTTTCTATGTAATTATTTTCGTAGAAGAATTCTGGATTTGATGGCTCTTAAATTTCCTACACTCATTTTCCATTTTTTCACAATAATTTAGGTCCTAGATGTTGCTGTTTCTCTTGCAAAAGTTGCTGATGTGGACAGAAATCTAGGGGATGAAAAGTTAGCTACTAATGGATTTCAAGAAGCCATAGACTTATTGGAATCACTGACTTTGAAATCTGAAGCCAGTGGGCTTGAGCAACGGGTAAGGGGTCACTACATATCCAAAGAAAAAAGTATTTCATTATATTGCTGCTGTTCCCCCTCCAGTTCCTATATATATATGGAGAGATGTTACTTCAGTATAAGAATAACTCATATTGAATCTTAGCTGTTTATTCCACTTGCATTTAACAGCTCACATGAATATTAAATTAGAGTTGTTAGACGCCAGTGGGGGCAATGGTCAATAATGAGTGTAGACTGGCATAAGTTGATTCGTTCCAATATATATACATATATGGGAGTGGATCAACTTACTCTAATCCAAAAATAATAAGTCTTACACGCAATCTTAGTTATTGATTTCACTTGCATCTAATAACTCTAATTTATTAGTTATGTAAACCGTTAAAGACGAGCAGAATCAATAACTAAGATTGGGTGTAAAGCCTATTATTATTACACCGGTGTAGATATCCTTACCTGATGCCACTATGTGTGTGTGTGTGCTGTGTAATTTTTTGCTATATGCTATATTTCCATATTAGATCCTGGAATTAATTTCATTTTCGGTCCTTCTACAGCGGCTATCAGTCCTAGACTTCCTTAGGAACCAACTTGCTGAAAAACAAAAACAAGCTGAGCCAACAGTCTGAGAAAGGAGCTCCTCGGGAAGAAAGGAAGCATTAATTCAGATGCAATAAATGCCAAGGGACAAATTTGCAAAATTAGCTCAGGTTCATAGAGGCACTACTAATAGAGGATGAAGAGATTTCAGAGTAATGCATATTTCAGGCATTTCTGGCAATGTAGTACCTGCCTTTGCCTTAGATTCTACAGTAGATCCTCTTTGTATTTTCTTGTACACCACTTTTTTTTTTCTTCCCACATTTTTCGTTGCTTTCTTTTTGGTTCATTAGAACAACTATGCTGGGGTCTACCTTGCATTATTGTAAGTAAATATACTTCTCTAATAAACTAGAAACGAAGTAACATTTAAGTATAGGTTGTAGTTTGCGTTTGAACATGATGAATACATTCTATATACTGTGAAAAGCGAAATTTATAAAATATTCGTAGGATGTGCAAAAATTATTGAACTGTATTTTTCTAAATCAACTTTGAGAACCTGGTTTTATAAATCGGTTTAAAAATTAAACTGATCCAAAACAACCGGTCCGGAAAAGAAGTTCAGAATCCATTTGCATATTCAAATTGGTTCTAAACTGAGTAGGAAATAGTTATAAATTATGAACTGGTTTCGAAGTGATTAGGAAAAAATAAAATTGGTTTGGATTAAATAAAATAATTCGGTTCTTTGAACAGAATCGGTTTAAACCAATACAGTTTGGTTTAGGAAAAAGAAATTGGATGACCAATGTCCATCCCTAAATATTCCTCATTGTTGTATATTACCCCTGACGTTACCAAATAAGCTTACACATTGGTGCATATCAACACAGTTGTTATAAACAAATCATCACAAACTTGGAAAGCAGAATCGTGGTTAAATTTCTCACAGTTGTTCTAAACGAATCATCACAAACTTGGAAAGCAGAATCATGGTTAAATTTCTCGTAACAGGTAATGCTTAATAATGTCTTCCGAATCTAAGAAAAGCATAGACTTTGTAATATAATGCTCAATTTCATGCATTAAAATCTAATTTATAATTAGTAGCCATTTAATGATGGGATAGAAAATGTGTTAAGAGGAAGAAATTTGTGGGATACAGTGAATGAATGAAAGGAAAGGAAAGGAAACAGAGAACAATTGAACATGGCTATTGATGTATGACAGTGCTTTTGAACGAGACTAATTTACTTGCATTTTAATATTCTGCTGTTTTTGCACTCGCTTTTGCTTTATTATCCCCTAGACTTTAGGTATCTGAAAGCAACATTATGTGCATTTGACTAGACAAGCTTAAATGAATTTACTTGTATGCACAAATATATATAAAGAGGTACATGACAACTTCTCTCTCTCTCTCTCTCTGCCCCCACATATCCGCAACAGCAATTGTTTAAGTGACTGCTTCAAGATTACTATATCGCCTTCTTTTATAGGTAAGGAAAATATCTAGTATTAACAAGTTGTATCGACTTTGAGATCTGAATATGCAATTATGTTTAAAATTTGGTAGGAAAAACTTTGCAGCCCTTATAATCCTTCATGCCTCAAATCGAATTAGGCGGATGAATTTTCCCTTATGGTCCTTCTCTCTTTGAATCGGATTAATTGGATAACCGATGAAGAAATCCAAACATAATGATTAAGGAAAATATCCGATAAATGCAAACTTATTTAACTTAACAATAATCTACATGTGTACTTTCCTAAAACATAATCTGCTTGCTTGGATTAAGAGTCTTTAATTGGGAGGGTAGGAAAGGAGGAGTTATTCTATGGACCGGTCCTATATAATTGACAAATGCTCCCTCTCATATGCAAAGGACAAAAATGGAAAACAAAAGAAAAAGCAGGGGTAGAATAGTAAAAACAAAGTGTTGACTGTGAGTGGGACCACGAAAATATAAAATGGGCCGGGATCGTATAAATTTTTTTCGTAGGAAAGGGGATATTAAAGAGGCAAATGTATTTGCTCCAACTCAAATGAGTGTGTCTAGTAATTAATTAATAGGTGGGATTATGAAAAAGTAAATGTAAATTAATTTCACATATATTTTCTTCACATTATCCTACTTAGGGAATAAAAAGGGGCGAACCGGAGCCGTGGTAAAACTGTTTCTTCGTGATTGAAAAGTCATGGGTTCGAATACAGGAAACAAGAGTGATTTTTATCCTACCTAGGGAATGATTAACCATTGAATTTGTTGAAGAAAAAGGAGAGAGAATATATGTAAGTAATGTGAATAAAAACTAAGGATAACTAACATTACTCTTGTTAAAATGTGCTAGAAAATGGTCCTCCACTGACATTCAGACGGTTGTACCTAATTTTATTACACAATAATTTAAACAGTAACTGATACAAAAAAGTAGATAATACAAGATGGAATAAAAGAAGAAAAATATTCATCTAACATTATTATTACATTAGATAAGCATTAATGATGGACTTATCCAAGTAGCATTTAGAAGTAACAAGAGGACTAAAAGTTAGAAATAGTAGTAATAGACTAATAGTGATAATACAGACAAGAGGAGCAAGTGTTGTCAAAGATGTACTTCCACGCATCATGTTTCAATCACCTTATACTAAGCAAACACTTAAGCCTATAAATGGATAATTGCCTTTGCAGCACTCTTCATTCATCAGCATAAGCACTTTATTCCATTATCTTCAATGGGGTGCCCTCTACAATTCCTTCATTTTCTCTTTACAGCTTTCCTTCTTATCTGCTGCAAAGTCATCTCAGATCAAGTCCCCAAGGTTCATATATTTTTTTCTTTGTTTCTTATTTTGATTCTTATATAGGATGAATCTTGGAGCAACAGTGAGGTTGTTTTTTGTGACCTTTGAGTCTAGAAACCATCTCTCTATAAAAATATAATAATAAGTTTGCGTACAATCAACCCTCGTCTCTATTCTCGCAAGTCAGAGCTGAATTTGCCTTTCATAATGACAGAATCACTAAAGTTTTTTTTTTTTTGTTATTTTTATTTTTCTGCAGCCTTATGTTGTTTATATGGGAAATTCAGCACCTAATAGCACTGGGACAGAATCAACTCACTTGCAGCTATTGTCTTCAATTATTCCAAGGTTACTCATCACTATGATCATCTAATTTACACCATGTACCTTTTTCCATAATCATATTCATTGTTTAAATAAATTCAACTTACAAAAATTTACTTATTTTTTTTTTCATTTTCTTAGAAGAGAGAGTGAGAGGATAGCTCTAGTCCACCATTTCAGTTATGCCTTTAGTGGGTTCTCTGCCATGCTTACAGAGAGTGAAGCTTCTGCATTGTCTGGTATTAATTCATCTTGTCAGCTAGCTCATTTTCTTTTTGTATGCTCCAAATTCCTATCATCAATCTTTGACTTCTTAAGTGTTTTATTGTTGAGACATTGTCGATCGAGCATTGATGTAAACTAAAGGCAATATAAAACAAAGGCAAGTGTTCTTTTAATGAAAATTAAAAAAATAAAGTCAAATATAAAAACATAGTATATTCATGACTAACATTTAATTTAATATATGGATTTGCCCACAATAGAGTAAATTTGATGACCCTAATTATCCTTGTGGGACCAATCAGGTGTGTTTGTGTAAGTCCACAACTAGAGGTGGCAAAGTGGGCGGGGCCATCAACCCGCTAAAAAATGAGTCAGTCCGTCTCGTCCCGCTTTTGAAAGTGGGCTGAAAAACTCAGTCCGCTCCGCCCCGTTTGGTGGGTTGGGCGGGTTGGCCCGCCAACCTGAGCCTATTTTACACTGACCCTCCTCCGCCCGCCTATACCCGCCATCAACCCGCCAAAAAATGAGCCCGCTCCGCCCCGCCCCGCTTTTGAGATGGGATGAAAAACTCAGTCCGCCCCATCCCGTTTGACGGGTTGGACGGGTTGACCCGCCGAGCCGAGTCCATTTTACCGACTCTATCCACAACCCGAGTGGTGAAAGAGTTAATCCCGAATCGAACTGCGTAACAATTGTCCTACCTTGACCTCAAAGATTTTTTCAAGATTCTAGCACTTAGTCTCTTAGGATGTTCATCCGAGACTCAGTACCACTTGAGTCAATCCCAGAGTTAATTGTTTATAATTTCTAATGTTACGTAATAATAGTTTTAATAATAATATTATTAAAATTGAACTATTGCAATATACCATATTATTGCAAATATGCTTACTGTAAAATTTTATATATCAATGTCATATGTGTTCCACTTTTAAAACTTGAGAATATTGGACCCCCAAAAATATTAAACAAAAGCCTGTAAAGTACCGGTGTCCTTATGAGCAGTTAACTGTTGCTACATGATTTGTATACAGGTTATGGAAATGTGGTGTCAGTGTTTCCAGATCCAGTTCTTCAACTGCATACAACACGATCTTGGGACTTTCTGGAATCAGATTTAGGGATGAGGCAGAGTGACACTTCTAGATACCAACACTTGGCATGTGATATCATTATTGGTGTAATAGACACTGGTAAGTAGTAACAAAATGGAATTAAAAAAGAAAAGAAAAGAATTAATAGCTCTTTTATATGTACTCAATAACTTACAATTGCTTTTTCTTTGTTTTTTTCGAAACATGCTTTTTCTTTTAATTGTCTACCTTGCTGTCATCCTACTTTACTTTCTATTATACAATAGATATTGGTACCTTGCTATGTACACTAAATATACAAAATTCTTTTGCCAAAATAGTGTGATTATCAGGTTTACATATCTAAATGGGAAATTATCCATTTATAAATTTTTTTTACAAATTACACTAAGTATGATCGGTCATACACTCTTGATTTAAATATGACCGGTCATACTTAGTGTAGTTTGTAAGAGTTTGTAAATATAACCTTCCTCTATCTAAATATCCCAAAACATGATTTTTTGCTCCCCAACTTCTCATGTTGTATGAGAAGAAATTTCTCTTGCAACAGATTAATAATATGTATTACGAATAGTACATAATTATAATATTAAAATTAATTTTATTCTCTCCGCCACGTCAGCTGACAGCATCTGAGAAGAAAGAATTTTTTTTTTTTTAAATTATAACTATGTACTACCCGTAATATATAGTGTTAATTCGTTGCAAGAGAAGATAACTTCTCCTATTACATTAGAGCTATATTTTCTTCTTCTTTTTTTTATAGCCTATATTTCCTTTTTTTTAATATAGAATACTTTTACCTTTATTTTCTCTAATAAATAAACCCACTTAAACTTCTCATTTTAGTTAGTAATGCATTAGGAACTTTTCCTAAAATAAGACATAGGGAGAGATTTTATACTTTTTTTTTTTTGGTGAAAGATTTTATACTTATTTTATTGTCAATTTTATTTCATTTGCATACAACTGCTATATAATTTTAAATCTGTTAACTAGTTTATTTAATCTTTTAATATGTGATAAATAATACATTTTTTCTTTGATTTTTCATTTCTTAATTTATAGAGAGAATTATTTATTGTGTGTTAAGAATTCAAAAATTACCATTTTCAGTGCAATTTATGTAAGGTTGCATTAAAATTAAAAACCATAAAATTGGAGTTACAACTTTTAGTTTTTTTTTTTTTTTTTGATAACACAACTTTTAGTTTTGATTAAACAAATTTTGGTAGTTGGGGGAAGCCACAAGAAGAAGAAAAGTTTAGTGGTGCGGAACCACCGAATTTGGTGATCCCTTTTATTAAAAAGGAAAAAAAATACTTTACTTTTTTTTTTAATAAAAGGGACCATCCCTGAACCATTAAAGTTTTTCTCCAGGATCTAAAAGGAATAATGGCAAGAAATAAGTAAATAAACAATCCTCATGAAAAAAGAAGAAGTAAATAAACAATGAAATATAACAGTATGTGTGACAACCATTCAATTGGCTTTTGGACCTTTTTCTATATAGAAATATATATTATTATTTTTTCATTTTTTGGTATCTTATTTTTTTTATTTTTTTGGCAATCATTTTTTTTTCTGCACCCAGGAATGTAGAATTAAAAAAAAAAATTGTGTCTTTTTCTTTCAATTTTTGTTCCTCAGCTGCCAATTCATTCACTGGAATAAAAAATAAATTAGTTTTATCAAACATAATTTTTAATCATTCTATTCCCCAAATCAAAAATAGAGGGGGAAAAATGTTATTGAAATATTATCACAGCTACAAACATATAGAAATAATTGCATGCCTTACCACACTAGCATGAAATTCGTTATAGAACTTGTAGAAAGAGTTTTGGGAGGGGCACCCATCATTCTCACAAATGGTCCATGGGCCTAACGATACAGTGGTCTCATGTGAAACTCATTGTCCCTATATATATACACTAAAGATATCTTAACCCTAAGTTGAAGCTCAGTTGATAAGTGAATTATAGCTCATGAGTCGAGCTCTGGTGGCTGATAAAGTCATGGGTTCAATTCCTACGAGAAACACTTTGGAGCCGGTGATGAAAACCTTTTTGTTCCAAGCTGCGAAGGAATTAGTCTCATTCTACGGGTGAGGACACCTTGAGTTCACTCAAAGAAAAAAAGATATCCTTGTTATAGAGGGCAGTTCCATTTTTTGCCGCATCCAAAACTAGCTTTAATGATGGTACCGTTAGACTTCACTTTCATGCCATACAAAACCATGTTAGAAAGCAATGGCAACTTATTGTGAACAGAAACTAGCTGTTGTGATTGACACACCACATTGTTTTGGTTAAGAGAGAACCCAAGATCTTATAGCCACTGAAACCTTCACTTGCTTATTTTGGTATATTATCATATGCTAGTCCTTATAAGTAATGTGCAATTGTGCATGCATATATGTTTAATTCAGTGTGGGTCTGATGGTGGCCTCTTAAATGCAAACCTCTTATCAGTGATGCTCAATTGTGAGTTTGGAAAGCGAAAATACGATAAATGAAAGAGAAGAGGTGAGGAATAGCATTATATCAAATGAGTTTTCCATCACACGTTCCTTTCATTTAGCTTTCCATTCCTAACTAATATCAAAACTAACAAAGAGGTGCATGAAATAGCTGCTAAAGTGAAGTGAGGAATAGCAAATATTATGTGTTCAAAAATATATAGGAGTTAAAAGTGAAATAGTCACTTTTAAAAAAAATTCAAGCACTGCATTCAATTTCTTGCTGCAAAACTTTGGGAGAATATAAACAATTTGAAGGCTTAAAAGAGTATAAATCATGTTAATAACTCCATCTTCGATCTTGTCCCCAATGAACTGTATGTTTGATCATGTAATGGTAAACAAGATTCTTTTCAACACGGAGTATAGCCTATCACAGAATAATTATACTACCCCTCGCTTGTGATCTTCAACTCATTGAGTAATCTTTTAAACTACATTCTCTCAAAATGCCATGTGTCACTGCTAGAGTTTAATCTACTGCAAGATACAACTGATTATTGCTTGCTTCTCCATGTTTCCAGATTTCTCCAGACATAGTACAATAACCAGACGTGAATCTATCATTTGCATCAAATCTTGCCCAAATTTTAACAATTTTGTTGTGCCCCTTTCTGAAGAATAAACCAATTAAAGAGAATAATCAGTCTAGCTAATTAAAGTAAAGTAAGAATTAGGATCGTAAAAAATATATGTTGCAATAAAACAATAAGAATTAGGATCCTAAAAAAATGTTACAATAATTCCTTAATCAGAATGAATAACAATAACTCCTGATTAATCCTGATTGTTAAATAAGTTTTCCTAACTCCTCACTTTGAAACTATGGAAGTCCATCATAATCTTCGTTGTTGAGCATCACGTATTTATAAGCTATATAGATCTTACTATACAGCTTGCATGTTAGACATTATGAACAAATTGTTTGAATTGAATATTATTCAATTTTTATGCCTATTAACTGTTCTGCAAAAAGGGATATGGCCAGAGTCTCCAAGCTTCAAAGATGAGGGTATAGGGAGGATTCCTTCAAGATGGAAAGGAGTTTGCATGGAGGGTCATGATTTCAAGAAATCCAAGTGCAATAGGTGATCATACATTCTTTTATAAATTATTTAAGAAATATCTTATATCTATTCATGTCATATTTACTACTGCAGAAAACTGATAGGTGCAAGATACTACAGTACCCAAACTTCATTTGATAGTAACCAGACACGTACTCGAGGAGCCACAGGCTCCCCAAGAGACTTTAATGGACATGGGACTCACACGGCATCAACAGCAGCAGGAGCCCTAGTCAATAAAGCTAGTTACTATGGTTTAGCACAAGGAACAGCAAGAGGTGGCTCACCTTCTACTAGGATTGCTGCTTACAAGACATGCTCAGAAGAAGGTTGCTCTGGTGCCACCATACTAAAAGCTACTGATGATGCTATTAAGGATGGAGTCGATATAATCTCAATCTCTATTGGAGTTAGCTCACTCTTCCAATCAGACTTTTTGAATGATCCCATAGCCATTGGAGCATTTCATGCAGAACAAATGGGGGTCATGGTTGTGTGCTCAGCTGGGAATGATGGTCCTGATCCTAAAACTATTGTGAATACAGCTCCATGGATAGTCACAGTTGCAGCTTCAAATATAGATAGGACCTTCCAATCAACTATTGTCCTTGGAAATGGGAAAGCTTTCCAGGTAGGTTGCTTAATCACTGCTTCCAAGCCAAAAAGTAGTGGGGTAGATTTCTTAGAATGATTTCTTCTTCATGTACCAGATACCTAACTTGTCCCCTTGTTTATTCTGTTAGGGTTCAGGCATTAACTTTTCAAACCTGACTCGTTCATAGATGTATCCTCTTGTCTTTGGAGAGGAAGTTGCTGCCAAATTTACCCCTGCATCAGAAGCTAGGTCTTATAATACTAGTCTAATTAACAGCACCTATAAGCCTATAAGGAAGTAACACTTCTAACATAATAAAGCATGTTCTTTACCACTAATGCAGGAACTGTTATCCCGGATCACTCGATTACAACAAAATTGCAGGGAACATTGTTGTTTGTGTTGCTGATGACCCAACTGTTTCAAGGCAAATCAAGAAGCGAGTTTTACAAGATGCAAGGGCCATGGGGATGATACTCATTGACAAGAATAACAAAGATGTTCCCTTTGATGCAGGTGTATTTCCATTCACAGAGGTTAACAATCTTGAAGGTCATCAGATCCTTAGCTATATAAACTCTGCCAGGTATTAACAACATGAAAATTTCTAATAACTCTTATGTTTCAGGCTGCTTGATTCTTCAGCCATATACACTCCACAACTTCTTTTATTGATAACAAAAATTTGCATTAATATTTTCTGCCATTTTAGATCACTAGCAATTAAATATTATATGAAGCTTAACTCAATAAACATAAACTTAAGATATGATCAACATTCTTAACACCATGCATTTTACAATTTTGAGGAATTCAATTTCAAAACATATTAGTGCATTGTAAAAGTAGCTTTTTTACTTGTTCTATGTACAAACAAGATGTCAGATAGTATAAAGTTAGTTGCACACAAAACTGGTAACATAAAATGCATGGTAAATGGTGGTTGTCTAAACAGCTCTTGTATGAAGGGTTAAATAGTAAAGATAAAAAAGCACATAATACGATTATTTATTTTGTTGCCGTGATGATTGGGAAAGGTTGAAAATTAAAAATCTAGCTAATATGCCAAGTCTTCCATGCCTCCATGACAGGAAACCCACTGCATCAATTCTTCAAACAGTAGAAGTTCCTAAATATAGGCCTTCCCCAATTGTTGCATCTTTCTCATCTAGAGGTCCTTCAGGCCTTACGGAAGACATTCTCAAGGTATTTTTGTGCCCTATAGCCTTACAGGCAAAACACAGAATTATATAAGCATCATGAGGACAATTCATTCAGCATTTCTTTCACAATAGCTATAGCAACTCTCTTGTCCAGCCAGATGTCATGGCTCCAGGCATTGACATTTTAGCTGCCACGATTCCCCAAAGTACTGAACCAGGAAGTGTTCCAATTGGGAAAAAACCATCCTTGTTTGGCATAAAATCTGGTACATCTATGGCTTGCCCACACGTTACAGGTGCTGCAGCATTCATTAAATCAGTTCATAGAAGATGGAGTCCATCAATGATCAAATCAGCACTAATGACAACAGGTTCAAAACCCAACATCCCTTTTAATTCTTCAATGGATTTATACTCAAGACAGAAAAAAGATAAATAGTACTTATGCTCTAATTTTTTTTTCACATTGTTCACATGAGGAAGCCTCTGACCAACAGTTCAAACTATTTTGCCAACCCACATGAAATGGGAGTTGGGGAAATTAACCCAATCAGAGCTCTCAACCCTGGTTTAATATTTGAAACAGCTACAGAAGACTATCTCCTATTCCTTTGTTATTATGGCTATCCACAGAAAAACATAAGGTCAATGTCTAAGACTAACTTCAATTGCCCAAGGAAAAACCCTGAAGATCCTATTTCCAACATTAACTACCCATCAATCTCCATAAAATCACTCAATAGACATCAGGGAGCAAAGATAATCAGAAGAACAGTTACCAATGTGGGATCCCTAAATGCCACATATACTGCAATGGTGCATGCACCTGAGGGATTGGATGTCAAGGTCTTCCCCAACAAACTTGTTTTTGCTGAGGGTGTCAAAAGCATGTCCTATGAAGTCTCATTCTTTGGGAAAGAGGCCCATGGTGGATACAATTTTGGGTCTCTAACATGGCTTGATGGCCGACATTATGTTCATACAGTATTTGCAGTCAACGTTGAATAATTTGGCACACAGACATATAGATATATAAATAGGTTATATAAACATACATAAATGAACATGATATTGTTCAGGTTTAATTTTATTCAGTAGATTGGAATGATCTTTTTACACTCACTGTACTCCAGAACAGAAGTACTGTCCTAAGGAGGCAAGTCCTTCTTAACAAGAGCCTTCAACAATTGAAACTTCATTTTGTAAGAAGATGGGGAATTACTTGTGATTCTTGTTATTATAGCTATTCACAGAAAAACATGTCTACAATGTCATGTGTAAGACTAACTTAAGCAGCCCATGGTACTCCACTGCCGATCATATCAACAATTTAGATTACCTATCCATCTCCAATAGCCAGAGCAATAAGAAGAATTGTTATCCTTTAATGCCACATATATAGTTATCAAGGTCTGCCCCAATAAAGTTGATTTTGCTGAGAGTGTATATACATATTGGATCTGTAAAATGGCTTGATGGTCGATGTTTTGTTAGTACAGTATTTGAAGCCAAGGTTGCATAATTTGGCACTGTTTCCTTCCTTCTATTGACATAAACACACAGATAGACTTAGATATATGAACATAGTACGGGGAAATAAAAATACATATACAGATGCAAACCTATTTTTCTTTTTCAACTTGTATGTTGAATTAAACTTCTAAACTTCCCAAAGTGGTATGGTGTTAACTATTAACTCCCTAACCTTACTATACTTGTATTACAAGAACAGAGAAGTAGTAAGTAAATGTAAAAAGCCCATACATCCTAAAGAAGAAGAAAGCAATTTTTAAAGACTATTCAAATAGATATAACGCATTTTATGAACCGACCTCACAAAGACTATTCAATTACTTCCTGCCAGAAATACCATGCTAAGCACATATATAAGAGACTCATCACTCACCAATTATTAACACTACCACACCCACTACAACAACATTTCCACTCCACTGGGGACAAAGATGATTCTTTCAGCAACATAAGGGTCAGTTAATCTGTATGAAGGTTTTAAATTGTGGACTGCAACATCTAAGTTGTAATAGTTGCCAAAACTGTACCAGGCCGTGATTGCAGACAGTGTCGGTTGCAATTGGCTGCATCAAATCGCATCAATGGCAATGCAAGTGCAACCGCAATTTGTAACGCAACTGCTGCCATAATTTAAAATATACTACTCAGTAGATATATCTATTTAAAATTTATTGAAGAAAGACCCTCGAATTTTCATCAACATACATGTAGCTTGAACCATAAAAAAAGGGCCGACCCAGTTCAAATACCCACTTCGTGAGTGTCTGGGGAAGGGAATACTCTAGGCAGTCTTTCCCCTGCTTTTTGCAGAGAGGCTGATTCGAACCCGCGACCTGACACACCACGGCAAGCAAGCTTACCGCTTAAAAATTAATTATTACCTAAAATACCATGCTAAGTAGATATATCAATTGATATACCATTCAAATGGATACAATGCAGTTTGTAAAATGATCTCACAAAGACTATTCAATAACTTCCCACCAGTAATACCATGTCAGGCAGATAAATAAGAAACTCATCATTCATCAATTATTAACACCAACACCACACTACAACAACTACATTTCCACTCCATTTGGGACAAAGATGATTCTTTCATCAACATAAGTGTTGGTAACTCTGTATCAGAATTGCAAATCGCAGACCACATCTCGTAATGCAGCCATGACATTTCAGTTATAATGGCCGCTGCAACCATATGACGCCATGATTGCAGGCCACATCGGCCGCAATTCTTTGCATCAGCCAGCAACAGGAAAATATCTTCAATACTACGGAGTACTAAAGACTTAGTACATCATTTACTAAAATTGGAAAAAAAGTAATACACCCCAACTTTACCTATTCTTTTATGATTAATGCCACCTAAGTCCCACTTTTTTCCAATTTTTAATAAAGGAGTACCTACTCGTATAGCACTGATATGCTCCAGCAATAGGCACAATGCAACCACAACTTGCCACAAAACAGCAACCAGTAATTTAAAACTCTACACTGTATATCATTATATTTTAAAATTTTGGAACAAAAAACCCTCCAATTGTCATCTAACATGCATCTAGGGTCAAACCATAAACACATTACGCAACAAACACTATACCTTTACAAAAAGAAATCACCAATCAATCATCATCATCATCACTCTCATCACTAAAGTACCCAGCTTTCTTCTCCTTCTTCTTCTTCTTATTGGCCACAACATTTTCATTCATCCCCAACAGCCTCTCATCAGCCCCATTATCCACAACCGAAGCCCAATTATCATCCTCAAACCTGTCCCTGCCGCCGCCGTCCGATCCATCGTCCTCCTTGTCATCCTCCTCCTCATCCTCCTTACCTCGGCACAACCCGAACCCTCTCCTGCCGCCGCATTTCGGAGGCGGGGGACGCTCCCGCGGGCCTAACAGATTCCTAGGGCAGTCATAGGACAGGTGGCCACTGTCCCCGCACTCGAAGCAACGGCCGTCGTCCCGGTAAACGCGCTTCCGGATGAACTCGGGGGCGCGGCCGTTGTCGGCTGCTATCGAAGCCGTTAGCGTCCGGCCGTTGAGGATTTTGCGGTGCATTTGGGCGGCGGCACTTCGTGCGTCGTCGCGCGACACGAACTGGACGAACGCCACGCCCCGGCTGAGGCGCGTGTGGCGGTCCTTGAGAACCGTTACGCGGGCGATGCGGCCGAACGTTGAGAAGAGTGTGTGGATGTCGGAGTTTGTTAGGGAGTAATCGAGGTTCGATACGTAGACCGTTGATTTTGACGGCGCCAACGGTCCTGATCCGTTGTTGTTGGTGGTGGTGGTGGTGTTTTTGGTGTCGTTGATTTTGTGTTGGTGTTGGGTTTGGGTTGCGTTTGATGAAGATGAACCACAGTAACGGTAGAAGAACATGTCGTCTTCATCGCTCTCACTCTCTCTCGCTTTCTCTTTCTTCTTAGTCATTGTAGCTTGTTTTTTCTTCTCTCTTTGGAGTGAGAGGGTTTTCTCCACTGTTTATCTCTCTTCTCAACTTTGCACTTGATTTAGTGTTATAAATTAGAATATCCTCTCATAGCATACATAAACATATGGCTCTGTTTGATTGTTTTTATTTCTAACATTACTTTTTGAAAAATTTGTGTAATGTAAAGTTAAACGAAGTTTTGTATGCGAAAATTATGATCTATTTATAATTTTAATTTATTTTAAGTTATAATTGTTTTTTTTAATTTTTTAACCCAATAACAATGTTATTTTGTTGATTATAAGACAAAGTTTTATAAAATAATATTAGGTTTTATTAATCTCATGCAATAGGAGAGAACTCTCAGTAAAAATAATCATGTATGGGACCCACCTATTATAGAAAAAGAAAAAAGAAATAAAAAAGTAATACGGAAATCGAAGTATGTATAGGAGAAAAAAATTCTTTTCTATAACATAAAAGTATATTTTTTCAATAATATTAGATACTTTATTCTCGTAAATATAACAATAAAGTTATTCTTCTATGTTTTAAAATATGAATAAGGTTTTATAACTTTTAGTTGGAGAAACACAAATTTTTTTATTTTTTTTTTGATAACAGAGAAATACAAATTTCATGTTGTAAGAAACTTGTATCTTATGTTATAGAAATTTTGATAATTATATTATCATTTTCTCCTTTTTGTTATCATTTTATATTTTAGCATAAGATAGATTCTCTTATTACATGATAGTAGACAAGTCATTTTAGTTATGCCTCAACTAAATATCTATACTACTCCTATATTTGTTTTGCAAGAAGAAATTATAGGGCTTATTTTTATTTTCTTTTGGTCTTATAGAAATAATTCAGTGTTCTTTTGAATGCAAAATTAATATGATTTTGCTTGTGAATATAAATAATGTTTCCATTGTATATGATAGATACGAAGAACGTTTTAGAAATTTTATTTTTTCCTTATATCATTAAATTTTTATTAAAATATATTGTATTTTTTTCTAAATTTATAAAATAATATCATTTTAAAATTATAGGAGATAATTTCATCTGAAAAATATTAATCCCCTAAAAATATCATGATAAATAAGAAAATTGCCTTTTAGTATTTTTCTATTGTAATTAAATTAAGATAACTTCAATTATTTTTCGTAATAACAGTTCTTATTTTTTTCCCGGTAAATTACAGTTCTTATTTTAACCTCAACATCAGTTGTTCAATATTTAGGCGATTATTAATTTATCTTTTGGGTACCGGTTGATTAATTACTTAATTAATCCGATAGTATTTTTTTCTCATTCATGACAAAATATGTCTTTATAATAAGACTATAATTATAACTTGGAAGAGAAGATTATAAACCATTACGCTTAATAATATAAAAAAAAAAAAAAAAAAACAAAAATTATGCATCGCATTGGGCGGCCATGCCATAACGAAAATATATAAACACCGTTTTGTGTGATAGAATATCCCTTTTAATAATGGGATTTGTATTTGTCATTTAACATGACACAACAAAGTTTTTTACACATACAACATTTTATGAAGCCCACACTTTTTGAAGAAAAAAAACTACGGCACGCAAAATGATTCTCTATAACATTACACAATCATTTTTCCTACAACATAACTCTTATAAAACCCTTTAATAATTGAGATAAATATAAAAACTAAACTTCTTTTTGTTTTGGTACATTTTTTTATTTACTTTTTTTTCGTAGTTTGGTACATTTAAGGGGAAATCACTTCTGTTGTCACTGCATAAGTGATTTCCTCCTACCATACTCTCCCTAACATTTTTTCTTTATTTTTATTTTTATTTTTATTTTTAAAAATAGTGGGGCCCACCATATTTTTGTGTCAGCTGTAAACTCTCAAATTTTGCAGTCTCAGGAGAGTTGTAAAGCCCTTATACTTATATTAAAGAACAAATCAGGGTAGCACTGAGTTAGGTTATGGATATTCTTCTTCAAGCCCTCCAAAATCCCCCCTTCTTCAAGCATGCAGCAACATGTGTATAATCCTTAAGATTAACCAAAGATTAAATACATGAAAATATTTTTTGCATTAATGTAATTTAAATTTGGTATATTAATCATTAAAGTGAAAAAAATAATCTACATAATTACATTTATTTAATCACATACTTTTATATTTTTAAAAATTCACAATATATAATGTAGATATAAACTATGTTTTGTCTATGAAAAGTTTGGCCTAACCACACTCTATTGAGCTTAGTCCAAATGATGTTGGAAGAGATACAATAATGGGATTTGTTGACTTGTGATGCAGGATAATTCTCTGAGATGGTTGAACCGGAGAGATTTTCTTGTCCGGGACAAATTGAGGATACCTGCAAGGCACTCTGATGCTAAAATCATTATTTGAATGAAAAAGCTTAAGTAAATTAGAAAAGATGATCATTTTTTGCCTTTAAGCCTTCCTTATATCATAGCGACATGATATGTTTGTGCCACCTTAGTATGGCGGCATTTATTTTCATTGGTGGGTTGGTGTAACCTCAAAGCCTATCTCATTTGTAGGATGCCTGTTGGTGAGTATAATGTGTAGGCTTAGCTGGAGTGTCATGCATGTCCTTTAGCCTCATGCTATGATGTGTAGGCTATTAAAGAGGCTAATAAATTCTTTGTTGTTGTCAATCCAAATGTGTGTCTGAGAGATTGTATGTACGTGGGATTACGTGTACACAAGATATAAAGATTTTCTTACTCCTTAAGTTTTTCTCATTACACCTCTTGGGTTATAATTGGACTGAACCTCTTATCTTGCTTAGTATGGGTTCAGATCAATTTTGATGATAATAAAGAGACAACAACAAAAAGGGAAAATTTTTTATAAAGAGCAAAAAACATCAATAATGTGTCAAGATTGAAGATATATATTGGAGCCACACAAGAAAAGTGATAAGATAACAAAGTCGCAAAACATGGATGAGTTTGGAAGAAAGCTAGCCATGAGTCAAGAGAATTAGATCAAGAGAAACAATATAGAAAAAGAAGAGCTAAACCAAGACCAATAGCAACAAAATATCTACAACCTTCAAGAGAAGCTTGATGTCACAAACCATGGTAAAAGTATATCAAATCTAACACAATATCAAAGAATTGTCTTATCCAACAAGTCAAGAGAGGAATCAAGATTGAAGAATCAATGTAAGAAGCAAAGTCCAAGACCATTAGAAAAGTATTTATTTAGGACTTATATTTGTATGTTAGGGAAAATAAGACATTGCATTGCATGAGCTTAAAGTTATTTTCAATTTGTATATTTGAAAATGCTTGAAATATTTGGATAGATCTTTCAAAGATAGATGAAAAATATTTTTAACTAGTTTTAACCTTATAAATATCTTTCCAAGAACCAACTACATGTTCCTAGAATATTAGGAACCACTTAAAAGTGAAAGGGAGTGAAAAAGAAAGTATTTTCTAATTTGCAAAAGATCATGAAATCTGTGATTTATTCCTTAGAAATCGATGAAAAAGAGTTTTAACACGATTTCGAATTCATAGACATTCATCCATAATACAATTGTATGAATTTACAATGTTAGAATTCGATTGAATCAAAAGAGACCAAGTTTGGCATAATATGAGGATTTGCTTGACTCATTAACTTGAGTACATCATTCTTTGTTGCTGAAGAACAATTTACTCGAGTAAGTTTGAAGATTTACTAGACTAAATGTTGTCCAAAAAGTCTACAACAACTATATTTCATTGGAAACATTATAAATAAACTCCCAACTGTGAAATCAAGGTGATGATATGGATTGTGTGTGTTATAACAACCCTTACTGTCAAGATAGATGACAGTGAATTAACAAAGTGTTTAAGTGAAATTTAAACACGTATTCAAAGAAACGGTAATCGGTAAATCATGTAATTGATGAAAAGAAAAGATGGCTAAACAACCACACAAGAGGGGGGTAAATTGTGTGTTACTTAAAATTTGAGAAACAATTCAAAAATCAACTTTTTAACATACAACTTCAACCAAAACAAAATTTATTGACCATAAACATTTTCCCAATAAAAACAGAATTAAAATAATTCTTATAACATTAATACAGAGACAATATGCAACGGATCAAATTTGAAAGGGAAAATAGAGTAATTTCAATGTTTATGCCTACCCTTTTCATGAATTCATGTAAGAACAAATTAAAACAGAAAAGTAATGATTATAATCCTTAAAACACATTCAATATGACATATATCAAGAATCAAAACGAAATTCAATTGATAGAAATCAAAAGAGATAGGGTAAGGAAGAATCGCACTAGGGTTTATCCTAGTTCACTCTTTAAACCACTTGAGAGCTAAGTCCAGACTTTCACTATCATCAAGCTTCTAACAGGTGCTTGAAGAAATCTTTTTACAACTGAAATTTTACAAGTCTATGATCACACCTTGATCACACTTAATCTAAGCCTTTAAGGTCACTCCAATTGTCTTTCCAACAATTACAACAATTCACTTTTCCTAAACAGATGTAGAGTCACCTCTCTAAGTTCAAACAAAAAAGAAAGAACAGAAAAAGATTGAGAGATGAGAAAGTAATTGAGATTTTTCTCAATGATGTGCAAAAGTATGCCAATATGGGTTCAATTCTAAGATTTCTTTGATTCTGAGTTTTTCAATGTTAATTCTTATGTTCAGAACCCTAATAATATGTATTTATAGGTGCCCAATGAGTTATTAGTCATTTATAGCCGTTGGGCATCAAAAAAATTGAGTTTCTTCGAGTTTAAGTCACTAATAACAGAAAGTTTTCGATTACTCTTCAGGGAGTATTCAAATATTTCTTTAAACCCAGAAAGTATTTGATTACTGTTCATCAAGTATTTGATTACTTTTCTACCCAAAAAAAATATTCAATTACTTTGCAAAAAGTATTCGATTACTTTTATGCATAAATCAGTTTCCAGTGGCTTCTAAATGATTCTAAGTTACTTCTAACATATGTATGATCTTGTTCCACACTTGTATAACAACTTTTGATGT